GGCAGAGACAACGTGTGATGAACTGACCCCAACCCCCATTCCCACCCCCCTGTGCCGCTGGGGGGGAGTAGGTAGAGAAACTGGGAGTGAAGTTGAGCCCAGAAAGAAGGGAGGGGTGGGGGGAAAGTGTTTTAAGATTCAGCAGTTTTTCTCCTCTCCTTCTCTGATTTTGATTGGTAATAAATTAAATTGGTTTCATCAAGTTGAGTCTGTTTTGCCCACGATGGTAACTGACAAATGATCTCTCCCTCTCCTTATCTCAACCCACGAGCCCTTTGATTTACTTTTCTCTCCCCTGTCCGGTTAAAGAGGGGAGTGATGGAATGGCTTTGGTGGGCCCCTGGTGTCCAGCCAGGGTCAAACCACCACAGAAGGTCCTCATGGGTCCCCTCCAACTCGAGATATTCTACGATGCAATGATTATTGTTCAAAATTTTAGCTACAGAAACACCATTTATTGCTTTTAAAAATTATTTTGTGGCTCAGAGGTAATGTTGCACCTCCCGGCGGTGAGCACGTGGCGACACCCTCTTTGCTTCACGTGAAACGGAGACCGGGCACAGACTTGCCAAGGGCTGGAATTTCTTTCCAGTTTTCCCCACGAGTGTATTCTGGTTTTGTAAGTTGAAGTTTTGCTGTAGAAATGCGTTACGGGGGCTGGGGGAGCTCGTTTTGGAGTGACTGAATAGACTCTCCATACATTGATGCCTGTTATTTTTTTTTTTTTTGTTCCCCCATCACTGACAGCTCTGCGGGAGGGAGGGGGATTCCCAGCAGAATATGCGAGCCGAATAATTGGGATATCAGGGCTTGCAACTGGGTCAAAACAAAGACCCTGAGGCAGAGGGGAAGCTGAATAATTTCTCCAGCAACTCTTAACGAGCCGCACACCGCAGGGGAACAGCCCTCACGGATCCCTGGCGATTCCCATCGGGTGTCGCGCTGAAAAGGCCCACAAAAAGTTTGTGCGGCCAAACGTAACGGTTGGGCAAAGGCCCATCTCGGAGCCTAACGAAGGCTCTGCTGTTGCTTTTGTTCCGTGTGTGAAAGCCTGAGCTGTACTGCAAATAAAATGAATTTTAGTACGGGTAAGGCCCATTGCATTGATGTTACTGGTTAGGATCACGCCCGGGCACCAGTTCTGGCGGCTGATTTCATTTAGCTGCCTTTGCGTGGGTGTTCAGAGACCGGAGAAAATTGTTATGCATTAAGCGTGGAACTGCCTGCGCTAGAGAAAGATTCTTTTTTCGTTTTTTTTTTTTTTTTTTTCTTCTTCTTAAGGGTCATGCTCAACTCTACCAGCAGTTAGGACAAGCTCTGCTAGATCTGCCAGGAGGGTGGGAGGAGGAGAAACCGTATTACATTAACCCAGCCGGATGGGACACGCTATAGAAAACAGTGATGTGAAAACCCGACTTTTTAAAAGCCGACTTACAAAGTCAACTTAAAGGCTTGTTCAGCCTGGAGAAGAGAAGGCTGCGGGCAGAGCTGAGTGCGGCCGGTCAGGGCTTCAAGGGGGCCCAGAGGAAAGGGGGGGACAAGCTTTTTAGTAGGGCCAGCTGGGACAGGACAAG